AGAAGTCGCAGTTATTCCCCGAGACGAAGCAGAGGATCTCCACGCTACTCTCCCCGTCACAGCAGATCACGTTCTCGTACATAAATGATCTTTAATAGTGCTCCTTTTGTAGAATTTCTCCATGTTGTATGCAGTTTTCTTTTGCCCCATATAGTCCTTTCTTTTAGAAAAAAAAAACAGAATTGAAACTGTTTTACTGAAAATTGGCTAAAATGTTGAATTGCATTTTTGTATAATATCCCTAGTGAGTATTTGTTCTTTAACATCAACATTCCCTTGCGTCTTTCATAAATTGTATTTTAACATGTCCTAGTCAGGGTTCTTTCTAGCTAGTTTGCTGCCCACCCTCTCTTCCAACTGTGATATTGCTGTATAAAATGTCTTTGTTCAGCTATGGTTTATACAAGCTTGGGATGGTGGGGTTTAAATTGTCTCTTTGGGGGAGCTTACATTTTTATCTTGCCTTTTCATGTGTCTTTCTGTAGACATATCTGAAGAGATGGATTAAGAATGCTTTGGATTAAAGGATTGTGGAGCACATGTCAATCATTTTAGGATTGTCAAAAGGAGGATTGAGGAGGATCAGATCAAAAATGGAGGCAATGGTATGACTCCAAGTGCTATTGTCACAGATTAAATTGGCAGTATTGACCTTATACAGAAAGAATAGCTAAATAGGCACGCCTGTTCTCTATTGTTCCACTCATTTTCTAGTCAGCTGAAGTTTTCTGACTACACTGATGACAATTGTGGCTTAGCTGGGCCCACGTGGTTTCAAATCAAGGGAGGGGGTGGGAATGTACTGTATCAGTTGATTACAGGCGTTGCCTGTTTTTACCCTTGTAACATGCAGGTTTTTCAGACATGGAAGTATAATCTCAATACTGCTAAAATCTGCATGTCCTCTGTGTGACTGATAGAGCGTTGCTGTTTCATCTTAAACGTAACGGAATGGAAGCAGTGGGAGGGACACATTGGGGATTTCTTTAAGTCTGCCCTCTTCCCCTACAAAATAACTCAGAATTGACTGATACTTCAGTTAATCTTGTTACTTCTAGACTGAGTATAATGAGCTTTTAGTTTAGGCATGGATAGTTCTAGCAGCAAGATTTGGCAACTTCATAACATCTTTTTTTTTTTTAACCACAAAACCTGTAATGCACATATAGGAATTGAGATGTTGAAATTATCAGTTATCCTTTGTAAATACTAGAACGTTTCTTCCAAATGATTAACACTGCTAAAAATTGAGCTTCACAATACAAAAGTTTGTCTTGGGGAACTGATAGTTATCAATGCCTATTTTTATTATTCAGCGGCAGACATAACTGATCATTCCCCAGAATCCTATTTTTCATTACGGTATCTAACTTTTTGCCTCCTCTTTTTTGGTTTTGCTGGTTATAAAGGTTTGGATTGGAGAGGGCTCACTGGATCCCAATCCTTGGAGCTGGATCATTGGATTCAAATCATAATGTGGATAGGATAGGGAGGATCAATTTCAAGGATTCATGGAGCGGGATCAAATTACCAGGAACATAGGAGTGGATTCCTGCCCCAACCAAACCGCACTCGTGTGGAGTTTTATTCAACTCAATTGGCTATTCCAAAGATTTTTCCTATTTTTGACGATTGGAGCCCATAAGATGCACGATGGAGTTTTCAATTTTTTTTTTGTAAAAGGAGCAAAGCAAGGACCTGGAGAGGTACGCTGGAGCATTCTTCTTGGAAGGATTCAGCACAAGTAGATGGTAAATGTTAAAGGGGAAAAGGGGGGTTGTTTAAAAACGTTAAGCCAATAAGTCATTTATCTAAATTTAACAACACAAAGAAATTGGTTAAGTAGGCTTTCAATTGGCTATTGCCTTTTTTCTTTTGACAAATAAAATTTTATAAAAAAGTGCATGGTGGTTTTGTTGTATTAAATAATGCCCATTTATATTGTCTTGTGCTATGATGAATTCACCTGTTAAGTTCCTCTGATTCTTGGCCTGGTAACTGACTGGGCTTCGTTTTGTGCTCTGTGGTCCATTCATATGCATTGGAGCACTGGTAGTAGCCTGGGCACAAATAAACCCTGATGGGAAGGTATGAGAATGAAGGTAAACATCCTGGAGCTTACATGGTCAGGCACATGGAGCGAAATACTTGGCTACTCTAGCATAATAGATAGCCAAGGGTTCATGCAGCTGTTGGTGAGTGCAGAATTTGGATGACGAGGTAAGAGCTACAGAGTTCCGTATCAAGTAGGACTGATTGACAAATAGGTGCTCTAGCTTCACGTGAATAATCCTTGGGGTTGAACTGCCTGTAGATAAGGTTTGTAACTTCTGTAACCTAACATTCTTGCAGGTTTTTTTAAAAAATCTAGCAATTGCAGTTTTTGATTAAAAGTCAATGGAAGGAGTCTCCCAAGGGATTAATCACAATACTTATTCAGGGCCCATCCTCTGAATTGTGGTCTCTCGGGGCTAACCCTGGTTTCCATCTTGGTGCCACCTTAGTAAACTCCATCAATGTGTTCATAAACACATCTATGACAGTAGCATGGAAATGGTTTGCCATTGCTGCTTTTCCAATCTACTCTATAGCCCTAGTTTTCCCAGGCTGCCCAGAGTCACTGGGAGTTAGGTGGCATATAAATATAATAAATTATTATCTCCCGTCAAAGACCTTAGCAAGCTGGCTGTACTTAGCTTCCAACCCCAGAAAAAGCCATGGTGCAAATAGTCTAGGATTCATTGTGCCCCTATGGGAACAAGGGGATTGATCTTGGACATGCTTCTTAAAGGTATGATAGAATTGCTTTTGAACTTGAATGAATCAGTTTAGGATTAAATGCTGTTTTGATATGCCCTGTATTAGTTACTGAGGCTATCTTACTTTCTAGATGCTTCTCATAAAGAAGATAAAATAGCAATCCTTACAGAAAAGGTGTTAAAGCCCACCAACTCTAAAAAGTATTGGTTAGCTGATAAATATTTAGCTCTAGGGTTTGTTTGTTTGTTTTTTTTAAAAGGAATGGGAATAACAGGCAATTGATTGTAACTGCATATACCTTGCATTTCAGATACGCATTCTAGTTACATCAGGATCATCAGATGCTGGTCAAAGCTGGTTGCTGTTAAACTGATTTGAATTTTAGTTTCTCTAAAAGAGATTGGATTAAGACGTTTAAAAAAACCTCAAGATAGGGAATGGAAGCAATAAGATATTTGAAGTGCTAAAAGTATTGATTGAGTCCCCTTAGGCAGATCCAAAGGGCTTTAGAATGATGCTAAATTCTCTAGTGGTCCTTGATATATTACTTTCCCTATTAATTTTTCTATTTAATGATGTATGGAGTTTGAAGACTAGGTATGGATCCTTACTCAATCAGGAATCCTACCGGTTACTGTTGTGGACCGCTAAGTTTATTCATTCCTCCCAGAGCTGTTAGAGTTGGCAAGAAGTGGATTTCATATGTTTATGATGCTATACAGGTAGTGCTCGTTTAGCAACCACAATTGGAACCAGCAATTTGGTCATTAAGCGAAGTGGTTGCTGAGTGAAACCACACCTGTGCTTATGATCTTACTTCAGCTTTCCTTTGCTTTACAGACCTGTGAAGGTCATAAATGCAAGGATTGGTTGCAAAGTTACTTTTTCATCACTGTCATAACTGAATGGTCGCTAAATGAGGCAGTTGCTAAATGAGGTCTACCTGTGCTTGTTCCTACTTCTATTTCCTGCTGAAGGGGTCATGTAACCCTTGAGGATGAGCTATATTATTTTAAATTTTGATAGCAGCTTCAAATTCCTCATATAAATCACTTGCCTTACAGTCTAAGCTTCCTCACAAAATTCGAAAATAGGCCTTTGGATAACTGCTGCATAAAAAGGCTGCATAATTGCATGGTAAGTTTCTAGTGAAAACAGCTCTCGCTTGTTTAGTAATGGTTAAAGAAGCACAACCAAGAGAAAAGCCCTTGTATGTAGCAGGGGAAGATTGATAAGTCAGACCTGTAATTAGATTGTGATTTGTTTTTGCAAACACCTGGTTCTATAGCTTAGGGCTGAAGGTTTTCAGCCTGTATGAGCTCTCTGGGCAAGCACCTAGGCTGATGCTCACAATAATGAAAATGATAGCCTTGTATAATTGGCCTGTGGTCAAGTTACTGAGTACAAACTGAATTTGTTTTGGGGTTTTTTGTATATGCACCTGTGCAATGGAAAAAACATGAGTTGACATTCTGAGGCTAGCTAATCTCTAGACTAACAGATGGCCTACGATATGGAGCCCTTTCACTATTGGGGAGGTATATTTTCTCGTTTTACTCATTTATGTATTCCATATATTGCATAGTTCAGAGGTGCACAAATCCTGGCCTTTCAGAATCCTTGGAGGCAGCATTGAGAACCCTTGAGCTGTAGTTTTTAATGTGACAGCAGAGAGAAATAAGTGAATGAGGGTTATTGGGCTGCTTATGCATTATTGGGATATGGACCTCTACCAAAGTGTGTTAAATGGCCTAATGTGCTTTGCAGGGGGAAAATGATGTTTCAGGCCTTAAATGACAAGCTATAAAATAAGGAAATTCTTTGAGATTAAGGTGGACTAGAAAGTCCAGTAACCTGATTTTAGGAAAACTATAGCTTTCCCAGTTTGGGGCTCAATTTTATTGTAACAGTGCAGTGCTAAAATGAAGGAAGGAGCTGGTTGGCAAAGATTTTTTCTAATTTCAAATTTGATCTTGAGGAGAGAAGCCTTATAAACCTATATGTACATGGAATTTGAATATATCTCCAACAACTAATTTTTTTAAAAATCCATTAAAATGTTGTCATGGGTATTAAGATTAAAACATCAGGAAAAAGACATGCTCATCTGGGGCCGTTGCCCCTGAGATAACCAGCACAATAACAGTCCATCTTTGATAGACAGTAAATTGGAATCGGTGAATTGGAAAACCAAAAGCTTTGCCTTTCAAAAAAGTGTCCAGAACTGTTTCTTTTGATAGCAGTCTCCAGATAATATCACGCTAACTAGTGGATTGACCTGCTTGGGCTTAGAAGTGCATTTCTTCAATGCACACATCAAAATCAGTTGAAAAGTTGCTTATATGCTGCTGTCCAATTGTTTCAGGACCTGGAAAATTGTTCCATGCAAATCAGTGTGATTTAAATTAGCATGCTCATGTCAATATCCACGCTCTGCCCAAGTGAGAGGTATGAAATGTAGCGTGTTTTGTGGAAAATGTTAAAAGCAATAGGATTTCCAGTGCTGGCTTCTCAGGTGATGGGGCTTTGTTGCTTTCTCCTGCTGGCTTTTTGTAAATAGTCTACTTTTTCAGGACGCTTCTTGCATTGTATTAAATGCTTCATCCTTATATCAACACTTAGTGTTATCTTTATGAGGAAGCTGCTGTTAATGCCACACGATTGTCTCTCTGAGATTGAGCGTGGTCCCTCGTGCCTCAGAAGTGGACTGGCAAAGCAGATCCCTTTCTAACAGGCCATGGGGTGGCCAGCGAGGGACCATTGTCAAGAGAACGCACAGCCTGGGTGTTTCCCATCTGCTCATAGTAGAGAATTCTCTACATGATAACTTCAGCCTTTCCCACATGGCAGCTGCATGGAAGAACAAGAAATGTTTGTCTCATTTCTCTAGCTGCTTCCCCCTTCTCATCCAGCCATTGGAACAGGAAGAGCAACAAAGTCCCGAATGTTTTTTTAGAAAGTGGCTGAAAAGCAAGCACACAATTTAGAAACTAAGAGAGAATATACGTAGCTGAGGATTGAACTGTAGAGTCCTTGGGGCTCTCTGAGCTTGGTGGTTTTCTTGCAGACGTTTCATTACCCGACTAGGTAACATCTTCAGTGGTAGCACTGAAGATGTTACCTAGTCAGGTAATGAAACGTCTGCAAGAAAATAACCAAGCCCAGAGAGCCCCAAGGACTCTACAATTTAGAAACACTCAAACTTGCTCAAAGTGGGAAATTTTCCAACCCACATCTTGGTTGCTAATAAACATTTCTGTGTATTCCCTTTAGTCTCCTGCTCTCCATTTCACAATAGCTGATGTTCATTAACTTTGCTGACTGCTTCCTTGCTGTCTTTCCTGTGCAGCGTAGCTTGTATAAAGCAGGGAGCCCTGGACTGGGAAATGCTCATATCAGAAACCCCTCTTTACAAATGAAACTGAATTTCATGTTTTCCTTTTTCCTTAACTGCCGCACTTGCGCGATGATAATTCGTTTACAGGGTCATGTGAGGGTAACAGGATCTGCAAAGCACTCAGGTGTTCATGATGCTATATATAAATTAACGACCTGTCATCTGTGCATACGGCATTTTACCTGGTTGAATGTACAATAGAACAATCCCTGTTTTCAAGTTGCTTGCAGCATAAAATGAGAAGTAACAGAAAGAGGGGGGCAATAATTATAGTATATGAGTGTAGCAAGTATTTTCCAGATTCTGCTTCACATCTTGCATAAAGAGCTTCCTGTCGCTTTATTTCTGTCATGTATCTCCATCTGTAGTCCCCTGGATTGCCTTCAATCCTCAGATGTCCCTGTCTCTTGCCTTGCTCACTGGAGATTTCCTGACATCTGTTTCACAATGCTTTTTTGTTTCACCCGTCAAAAATCTGAAGCGTCAGTAACCCACAATCTTTGGGGTTGTGGTTCATTGCAATGTGTCAGTCCTGAATTGTCCAAACTGGGTGCCGGAAATGCTTAGTGGAAATTGTTTTCTCTTCCACATCACAAATGCGTTTACCAAGATGTCTATATTTAGAAGGAAATTGGCTAAACAGCCCAGCTAAAGTGCCTGGATTAGACGTTAGGTAGACAGATAACGCCAGCAAGAGTTTACAGAATATATTTGTCCATCTGACAAAGATGTGACCGTGCCATCTGTGAGTCACATGAGAGTTTTGAGGTAAGAGTGGAAGTAAACCTTGAGCTGCTGAAGTCTGAAAAGGCAAATTATGGTAACCTTGCTGTAAAGATGTTTTAATCATCTTGAAAGAAACAAAATGAGAATTCAGTAATGAGTTGCAATTCCTAGAACGTGAAATAGATAGGCAGGCTAGACCTAAGTGGACTTCTGGATGCCTGTTGCTAATCTGTTTAACATGCTGTTTTTTCCTCCCCCTCCCCCATGTCACTGTTCAGAGCACTTTGAAAATAACCAGGAAAACCAGGAAATGAAAGCTGAGCTCCCTGGCTGCTCTTAGGTTGCATATCATTCCTGTTAACTGATGACTGGTGCATGGAGACGTGGACCTCTGCTAGTGGATGATTTGCACTTGGAGCCAGGAGAGGATTCCCTGAGGCTTGACTGTCCAAAAGACAAACCTTCCACCTTTTCATTCCCCTGCAGAACGGTTCACCCGTACAGAGGAGAGGAGGAGGAGTGCTGTTTTTATTGGCGGGAACATGACCGGGGAAACGTTAGGGTAACACTTCTGCAGCATCACTGCCATCACGTTTTCAAGAACCCACCTCCTCCAGAGGGAAGGGAATGTAGGCATTGCAGTAGTTGAAGGACTGCAACTGTTGGCTTTTGCTGGACAGAAGATGGGGTTGTGGGCCTTGCCCTTGTACTCGGTAATGAATATCGTGAAATGCAGCCACCCTTAACATCTGCATAGAGAGACCTGACGTTATCAGTTGTTGGTAGCTTGTTTTGTGCCAGGTGCCTATCAACGTCAGGTCCAAATACACAGGTACCATGATGGGTCCAGCAAGCTATGCACGTCTCTACTTGTGCCATCTAACAACTGTTCAAACTACTAACCTGATGTGCAGCTCTGGTCAACATCTGGAGAGCATTAAATTTCAGTGGAATGAGGGAGGCATGTGCCAATGGACAGCTTTGCTGGAATCCATCAGCCTTTGTCATCCATTTAAGGTAAAGTCTGCTTTGAGCTTGACTTCTAAGGACTTGCAGGCGTGTCCATGTTTTGACTTAAAATCTAGCCTACAATCCTAATATTTCTTTCTAATCTCCCATCCAAGTATGAACTAGACCTGGCTCTGTGTAGCTTCTGAGCCAGACAAAGGATGTCTTCTAATTGAAAAAAAGAAAACTTGGGATGCAGTGAAGCATCAGCTTCTAGCATAATTCTTATTTACCAGAATGCTGAGGAGCGTCAGACATAATAGTTCATAGAAGTTGTTGGGTGGCTGCAGTACAGTGCTTGGAAGTGAATCTAGCTGTGGAAAAGGGCCAAAATGAGTTAGGTTGGTAGAGGACATGCTAGGGACCAGGGGAAGAGGAGAGGAGCAAGTCCACCAGTTTGCCTTTGGTAAATTGTTTTAAGACTGATCGTAGGGTTCTGTTTGTAAATAAACATGCCTTTCAATAACTTTTGTAGGAGTCCCGTGACAGGTTCTTGAAATTCCAGATTGGCCCAGAAACACAGAATTTTCCACTCCACAAAGCTATCCCCTGTTGCCTTATAAGGTTCTCCTCATCTGTTCTCAAGGAAATTGGAAAATGTGGTACACCGTAACTACTAAGACTCCATGTGTGATGGATTCACAAAGGATCTACAGCAAATGGATGAAGCTGGGGCTCCAGACACCAAACTAAGACTAGTTCAAATGGTTTATTTCACCCTGCAGTCAATGGACTGTTTTATGTTTTGTGTAGATCAAGGCCTAAATACATAATGGCTTTCATATAAAAATATTTTAATACATGTCAGTATAGTGCCCCAATCTTTCTACAAGGAATGCTGCTGCCTCTTTAGGAACCTAATTTCCCTCTTTCCCTTTCAAATATTTTTTGCGTTACAAACTGTGGGCCCAGCTCTAGAAAACAATTTAAGATAGGAAAGGGTCAAATTCACATTCTCTGTTTACTTCTGTTTTGCTTTCTGCAGTCTATAGCTCCAGCTTGAGCAGTCCTTTGAAAAGCCTCACCTGTTTTTTCTTAATATTCAGATTTTAGAACAACTGAAAAGCAGAAGTGCAGTAATGGGAAGGTACAGAGGGAGATGTAATTTGGGTTGTGGAGTAGGGATGCAGCCATGCTTATTTGAGACACAGAAAATGTCCATTTCTTACAACCCAGTTGGATTTGACTTTAGCAGTTTCTGAATTTTAGTGGTTCTTCAGTTTGGTTAGTCAAATGGAGACCTGTATCAGAGTAGAATAAGTACAGTAGGCATGCATAAAGGCCTTCTCAAAATAATAATAATTATAATAAT